CAGCCGGGGGCTCCAGCTGGCCAAGGAGCAGTCACGCTTGGCAGAAGATCTCGGAGAGGCACCAAGTCTAGCTGCGCTGCTTCTCCCTGCACGAGAGCCCAGCGCCTGGAGCTTGGCCCAAGGTCCGCCCAGCCTTCTCCTCTGGCCGGCCTCCTGCTAAGCACCTGGCCTGGGAAACTGCCCCGTCTCATCCCCTCCCTCGTCTCAGATCCCCACTGCCAGGCTTGCCCAGGGTTCCAGATCCGTGTCTGCCCCCTTCTCTCCCAGCTGGACACCAGCCTGTGGGCGCGGTGAGCAGCGAGGCCCCACTCAACCCCAGGCGTGTCCTCCAGGAAGCCTTTGTTCATGCTCTGTGCCGACCGGCCTTCCCCGTGCTCTGGCTCTGGGCCAGGCCCTGTGCTGTGCTCCCGGGGGCTGTCAGAGCTGGCAGACTTGACCTCTGCCCCAAGCTGGGGAGCCCCAGGCTTTGGATAAAAGAGGGTGTTGGTGGAGGAGGGGCAAGAAGCGGGGACGGGGTGGCGACGAAAGTCTGGTTACGTGGGGACAAGCCTTTGCCGGGTAGAACCGTGTCAGATGGCCCCTGGTGAAAAGTGGTGGGCGGCGTGGCCCAGATGGGAAGCTGCACGTGCAGGGCTTCTAGGAGGGGACTTCCAGGAGGTGACTGATGGGTGGGCCTGGAACCAGCGTGGGGGGCGTGTGGTGGCCTGGGGGAGGAAATCGGGAGAGGCCCAGGGATCCTGGAGATGATGGCTGTAGAGAAGAGGTGAGGTTGGGGGACAGAGGAGCGGGGAGCCGGGCAGGAGTGTGAATGTGTGTGACATCAGCTGGACCTCTCAGGGGGTTGTATGGTTAGATGGGGTTGGGGAAAGCACAGGGCTCAGTCTGCAACCCCCAAGTGTCAGCCTTGAGCACAACTGCCCTGCTTTGCCTGGTCCTCCCAGGCCTTTCAGGGCTCCAGCCCCTGGGCCACCTTCCTGGAGCTCTCTCAGCAGCTCCCCTGTCTGCCAGGCCCCTCCGCTTGTTCACACCACCCCCTGGGAGCCCTGCTAGGTGAGAGGGTTATGGGATCATGCTGACGCAGGAAGGGAAGCCTGGCTCGAAGGGACGATGGGGACGGGCCGCTGTGGGAATGGAGGGAGCCAGCTCCTGATACTTTTTTGGGCCTCCGTGTCCTCAACTGTAAAATGGGAATTGCTTTAGCGCCAAGCCTCAGGGTGGCTGGGAGATGAGTGAAGGCTGGGACAGAGCAAGGCCCAGAGAAGCTGGGGTTCTCGGCTAACTATTGCTGTATGCACCGGACCTGGAGCACCTGGTTCCCCTGGGCTCAGAGGGACCCCTAAGTGGCTGTGAGGACACATTCCAGTCGGGAGGGCTGATGCTACTCAGCTCCTGACTTAGGGCCCTGGGCATGGGAGTCCACAGACCTCAGACCCTGGCGCAGATCACGGTGAGGAGGAAGAGTCCTCCAGAATGAGCGGGCTGATGTGCACAGAGGCTGCTGAGGAAGGGGTGGTTGCCTGCTCTGGGGGCGCCTGCCGAGGCTGTAACCCTGGGGTAGGGAGGGCTTCCTGCGTGGACCTGTGCATCCCATGCTGCCAGCCGCCCCTGTGCCCACCCCTGTGCCCGGAGATCAGTGCACCAATCGGTGGAAGTGAAGAGGGCGGACAGGGGCTCTGCCTCTGGAGCTCACAACAGCCAGCGTGGGAGTTTCCTCCCAGACCAAGTCTGAACCATTTGTGGTCAAGAGTAACAGTCCCCTGAAATGTCCTTTTCTTAGTCCTCCATGATATTACGTGGCAAAATGGACTCAGCAGATATGACTAAATTAAGACCCTTGAGATGGGTGCTTGTCCCGGATGATCTGAGTGGGCCCACGTGGTACAAGATTCCTTAAAGGTGGAGAAGGAAGGTCAGAGAAAGCGAGCCTGATGGAAACAGGGTCAGACAGTTGCAATGCGGTCGGCTCTGAAGACAGGAAGAGGCCTAAAACCAAGGAATACGGGTAGTTCTAGAAGCTTACTAACCCTAACCCTAACCCTAACCCTAACTCCAGAGCAGGGCAGGGGCATGTACTGGGTCCCCAGAGGCCCTGTACACCTCCCAGCAGGAGGGTGATGGCAGAAGAGGGCTAGAGCTTCCAGAAAAATTGCAGCCCTTGCTGACACATTGACTTTAGCCCAGTGAGTCCCAGGTCCAACTTCTGACCTATGGAAGCTGGTGTGCTGCTGCTGCTGTAAGGCACTAAGACTGCGGGACCCTGTTAGCAGCAACAGAAGGCTGACAGGGCACCCATCCCATGCACACTGCGGGACTGACTGAACACCTGGATTGGCAAGAATGACCCAGGGTGTCTCATCAGTCTTGCTAGGACTGGGGTCCCAGGAGCCCATGGTAAACTTAGCTGGGTACTCAGGTTCTGCACAAGTCAGCCAGATACTTGAAATTTATCACTCCAACCCTCATACCCAAATATTTTAACCGATTTTAATGTAAATCAAACATCTGTCACATATTTTGAGCCTCTTTAAAGAAAACATAACTGCCCCCGTTCTTAGCCTGTGCTCAGTGACTGGGGTTAATTATAAATGGCACTTGCTGGGTACAGCTGAGACCCCAAGGCTGGGGCAGGGCCACTTAGCCCCGAATGGCCCCCGGCTGCTCTGCTACAGGCCACCACCCTCTCTGTGACATGGAACAGGGGGTGTCACCCTGGGCCTGCAGAAGCAGTCTGTCACTGATGTGGTCACCAGAGGAGGGAGGTTTTTTCCTGCCTGTGGGGCCGAATGGGTTCTAAAGGGATGTGTGAGGGGATTTCTATAATGAGAGGTGGGAATTCAGGGCAGGCCAACTATCATCCTTTTCCCTAGCTCCTTCCGAGCCCCCCAATTGGCTCCCCTAACACTGCCTCCCAAACCTGGAGCGAGGGTACCTGTGTTCTCAGCTCATTCCTTCTCATCTCCCTGACCCCGCTCCAGGCTAACACCCGCCGACTGTAATTAGAAAAAGCAAGTCCACAGCTTCTCTCTGCACCTTGCCATCACCTGCTTGACGAGAGCTCAGCTCAGCCCTCTTCTGCCATCACCCTCCTGCTGGGAGGTGTACAGGGCCTCTGGGGACCCAGTACATGCCCCTGCCCTGCTCTGGAGCTCTGGTCTTGGGCAGCAGTACCCACCTCTCCCAGTAAGTGAGGCTGGGGCCTCAGCGTGCCCTCAGATCACCAACAGCTCTTAGGTTCCCACCACCCACCTCCAGCCACCTTTCTGACTCACACCTTCCAGGATGGTAGTAGGCAAACCTGTCTGCTGGGGCCTTCAAGCCCACTCCTTGGCCATATCTAGCCCTTCCCAGGCCAACCCAGACAGCACAAGTCAACATGACAGCCCTGTCCCGAGAACTTGTAGAGAGGGAGCTTCCAGACAAACCTTGTCCCATCTGCCTGTTACCAGAGGTGAATCTTCCAGACTCTCTGAACCTTAGTGTTCTTGTCTGAGAAACATGGCTATGGCCTGTCCTGCTCAGAATGGACCACAGGCTGCACAGAGCACCAGCAGCCAGCCCAGATCTCCTTTGCTCCTCCAAGCCCCACTGGGGGAGATGGCCTTCAAGCTTAGTCCCTAACACGGAAAGTCATATTCCTTCCATGGCCGCACTTACATCTCCCTTTTTCCTGGGTGCCTGGACTCATTTGAAGTTCATATGAGGACCATAAAAGTAGGCGACCTCTCCAGGACTCTGTGGCTCTGACTTCCATGGTCCTGTGACCCTAACACAGCCTTGAACTTAGGGCTTAGCTAGGCTGTGCAGGGTAGTATGTGACCGTGGGCAACCCAGGGTACCCCAAAGACCCTGTTTCCTCCTCCAGGACATAGGAAATGTACCACCTGGCCCCACAGCTCCCAAGGCTGCTATAGTCTACAGACTGCCACAAAGAAGGTTGTGTCGATCCTAAACCACCCTACAGCTGTGCTCCAGAGGCCTGGGCAGCTGGCACCATCCAGGGCCCAGCAAGCGCAGAACCACGGAACTAAGGAGCAGACTTGCTCTGTGAGCGAGCAGCCATCTCCCCCTCCTTTTCTTTCCTCACCCTGCCGAGGGTCAGCCACAACCGAGGGTCAGCCACAACCGCAGGCCTCCCAAGCCACCCCGAGCAGTACCAGGGGTTTTTGGGCAAGACTCCCTAGAATCTGGATCCAGCCCAGGGTCAGTGTCTGGAGTGTAGCCCACATCACACCTGCCTCTGCTCCTTGCGCAGAGGCAAGCGGGTGCCTGAAGTTCAGGGAAAAGTGGGCCAAGGCTGCCCACTTGCACCCACCTCAGGCTGGATCGTTCCCGGAGTCAGGAACCTGGGGACCAGAAGGGGTTGAATGAACCTTGTTTTACCCGGGGCCTGCCAGATGGCCTGAACAGGCCGGTCCTCTCTGGGTAGCAGATTTCCCAACTACAAAGCCAGTGCTGAACCCAGCTGTCTTTCTCGCCCTGGATGTGGCTTCTCTCCGGAAGGAGATGGAGAGGCGCCCTGCTGGGTGAATCCCTGCTCTACGCTGGCGGCCCCCGTCGCTTTTGGGCGTCCCTGTTGCCTTGCTGATCCTGCTTATGTACTGCGAGTGGAGGAACGCAGAGCAAACGTGTCCCCCGCAGAGGCCACTGTGCACTGACTCTGGGCCCCTCACCACACACACGCGCACACACACACGTGTTTGATGAAGGGCGTAAACGTTAACAGAGAAAACGTCAGTTCCCACCGGGACTGGATCCCCCCACTCACACGCGGCACGTGTGACCACACGCACGTGGGCACTCTGCAGACAGTCCCCCCCCACGCACACCCCGTGCGCCGGCACGCACACACGCACGCACCTCCCGCGCGCCAGCACGCACGCACGCAAGCACGCACACCCGCGCGCCGGCACGCACGCACAGCCCGACACAGCAGCACGCGCATGCGCACACACGCGGACAAAGGCGCGAGCACAACAAAGGAAGTGGAAGAAAAGTGTTACCCATGAGGAGCCGCCGTTTCACCCGCTTGTCCACATCAGCTACTGACGTGGCATTGAACTGAGAGCGCTCAATTGCAGCCTCATCCTTCTCTAAAACACAAGTAAGGGACAAACACGGAGCCGGTGGTTAATGACAGCCCACTTCCCGCGGCCCAAGACAGTCAGCCTCTCGGCGTGGCGCACACACAGCCAACGCAGCATGCCGGGCCGGGCGTCCGCGCCGAGGGGCGAATCCCGGCAGCCTCCAAGGTGGCGTGTTCGGGGCAGGAGGCGGCAGGGGTGGGGGGTGCAGAGCGGGGGACGACCACACAAGGGCAGAGGTGGGACCCAGGGCCCCGCCGCAAACACACAGAGGCGGCGGCTGAGGTCAGAGTGGACAGACCCAGCTGCGGGGGTGGGGGGGGGGTACAAAAGCACACACACCCCCTCAGCGCACATGGAGGCAGAAGTGATTGCAGATGCCCCCTGCTCAGGCGGGGGAGGCAGGGACAGGACAAGGCACATGACAAAGGGACAGGGCCACGAGGTCCGGTGATGGCTGTGCCTGGACAGCAGATGCCCTGTGTCAAGGCGGGAAAGTGTGTCAAACACTCATGCAAAGTTAAGAACAAAACATAACAGAGGAATGAACATAGACACCACAATGGATCCAGTCGAACAGACAGAAAGAACAGGGGCTCGATTTGGGCAGCGCTGGTTGCCTGCTTGTCTATAGAGGACTAGAGCGAGACATTCAAGTGCTTGACGAGGGGCTGCACAGATGGGTCAGTCATTTTAGGAGCGTGCGGAGAGGCGGGTGGGCGGCCGGGGAGCATTCTGGCCGCTGGGCAAGACGCTTGGCCAAGATGCTGCTCGTGGAGGAGCACGTGAGGTTAGCTGTTTGGTGGCCCTCTGCTCAGCGGGACACACGTGGAGACATTTGCTCTGGAGAGGGGAACCTAAGCAGCAGTGAGCAGAGACAGAAGGAAGGTTCTCCTGGCCAGCAGAGGGCAATGGCCCAGGAGCTGGGTCTGGAAGAGGGTTTCTAGGGGGAGGGGAGGGGAGGAGGGAGTGAGGGAGGTTACATTGGAAAGTAGATCCAAGCAGGGACCTTCACATGCAGCAAACACTAAGAGATTTAAAAAAAAAAAAAAAAAAAAGGAGAAAGGATGAGTCAGGTGGACAAAGACAAGATGTGTTAGACGAGGCTGGGTGTGTCTGGCCAGCAGCTGTCTGCACTGGTCCCGTGGCCGGCAGAGCCAGCCGCACTGCAGACACAAACGGAGGGAGACCCAGCAGACGAGACAGGAAGGGGCCGCTGGGCCTCAGAGGCCCCCAGCAGGACAGAGGAGACAGGGAGAGAGGTGGGAGAGGAGGTTCTAGATGGGATCAGGCTGCAATAGAGACACTGGTCTGAGACCAGGTTTTGCTTTGAAAAAAAAAAAATTTTTTTTTGGTTGTTTGGTTTGGTTTGGCTTTTGGCTCTGAAAATAATTAATGAACGTCAGTTATCAGACAAGACAGGCAATCAGGGACCATCACCAGAAAAGCAGGAGGAATGAGATAAAATGAAACCAAAACGGCCATCTGAGAGGAGACCACATAGAGGAAGGGGAGAACCACGCGGGCAGCAGCTCCCGGGACGATAGCCGGGACTAGGGTGAGACGCTGGTGGCCTGCCCGCACCCTGGCACCCCCACCCAGCTCTCTGAAGTACCAGGGAGTAGTCACAGGGACAGAATGCGACAGCAAACTCTGGCTTCACGGATTTGCTTGCTTGCCACCCCTTTTTTGTTACTTCAAAGTCCCTCCAGAAATATCTTCAGAGTCAGTAATAAGAGATGGGGTTCCCCATTAAAAAGAATACATATGGTCACTGCCTGTGGGCTTCTGAAGTTGCCCGACATTGAAGAGAAAGAAAGCAGAGAGTGAACAAAGTTGGATGGGTACCAACTTTGAAATTCATCTTTTTCTCAGTTAAAAGATATGCGGGGAAAGACGCTACTACTGATTATGGCATGAGGAAACCACAGAAATTCTAGCTTCCTCCTGCAAATATGGACCAGGAGGAAGGAGGTAACCAAACTCAAATTGAGACTCCATGAGACAGGAGGTGACAGAAGGGGCATCACTGAGAAGAAGAGACTCTAGCTGGGAGAAGAAGTCTGGCAAGAACCCCATTAGCTCAGGAGCGGAAAGCAGTTAAGAACACCCAGAACCCCTTGGGATTCTTCCATCCAGTCTCCCCTGGTGTAGACAGTGAAGACTTAAAGCTGCTTTCTGAGAAAACCTCCTGGTTTTCCAGGCTGGCGGTCAGCTCATGTTGCTAATGGGGCTGATATGCAGATTAAATGAATGTGCCACGTGTCCCCAAATCAGGGGAAGAAACCCGTATGCTTTAAAACAGAAGGTGCCCTCCTGAGGCACCCACCCCCGACTACCCCCACGTTGAGGATGAGGACCCACAGAAAACCCACAGTGACACAAAGCAGAGGTGCTTGGTCCCGGGTGTCTGGGTGGCCCTTGATAAGTCTCTCCAGAAGGCTTCCCCTGGGGACATCTGCCAGCCCCATCAGTACTGTGGGGTGCCTCCTGTTCTTGTTCCCTTAAGCTTCCTTCTTGGAAACTGGGACATGGTGGGGTGGTGCTGGGGTGCCGGCCAACTTCAGGGCCACAGGGTGCACCCTGGCGTGGGGGCAGAGTGGCACGAGGCAGAAGTGTGTACTTACCAATGCACGTCCGCCCGTCTGAGTGGAGGGCGTACTTCTGGTGGCAGCCACACATGGGGCCCGTGTCTGTGTCCTCGCAGCTGTGCTGGCAGCCTCCGTTCCCGTAGTTACAGGTTACTAGTTAGGCCCAAAGTGTACATACGTGTGTATAAAAGGAATGACAACAAAGACGGTTAGTTCATCGGTGTTGGTTGCTTCTCTCAAGGGATGGGGAGCAAAGTGATGGCTTAAGGCGATCAGTGAAAAGAGGCGCACATTTCCCCGGACTGCAGCCCCCACAGGGCCTCGAATGGAATGGCTCACTCTCCTGATGGGACCTGGGGTGACACGAGGACAGACCTGGGCCGTGTGGGCTTCAAACAGGGCTGGCACCAGCTGACAGACTCAGATGGTGTCAGGAGAGGAAAGGGACAGGAGAGATCATTTTCTCCTTCCTCAGTCCCAAGACACTTAGAAACTGTCTCGATGGGACAAATGTCTGTTAATGGCAGGCATCCTCCACAAGGTGGGGGAGGGTGGTGGCAGGCCCGTGCTGACAGGGACACTTATTCAGTTCTTGCCCAGCTTGCTCTCCTCTGCCCGTGACTTGGGCATGTGGAAAGATGTCCCCGCAGAAGTCTAGTCGGTCCTAGTCCCAGCAGCCATTTCAGCCTCTGTCCCCTCACAGCCTGGGTCCTCCCAAGGCAATGTCCGCACAGACGGAATCTGTGCAAATTAATGTCAGTTCACGTGCACTTTGGAAAATGACCTTTTATTTAAACGTGTTATATCGTTTGTTTGCAGGGTCTGCGGCCTGGAGGAGCTGGAGCCCTGCAGCCCAGAATCCTGAAATGTTTTACAGCATCAGCAACCTGGGGTGGCTGGAAGGGAGCTGAACAGAAAGGAGCCAGTCTGAAGTAGGAAAAATTATAAATGCAAGTTACTTTAACCACATCTCAGGACGAGCGGTATTGCCGAAGGGGATCCCCGCTCTCTGTAAAGCAGCCCTGCTCTACTCCCTCACAAGACAACCCTAAAGGTGCTCGAAGATGCAAAAATCAGTCTTGGACCGGCCAAGCCAAGAGTTCCGATTTGGCAGTTGGGGTTAATGATGCTCCATCAGGTTGACGCATGGCAGGGCTGGTGCCAGAGGGAAGCCATGGGCAGCAGCTCCCGGAGATGGATCCCAAGCATTCCAGAACTGTGTCCCGCAGCTGCCTCTCCCAGGTAGTGCTCTCCCCAGGGGCACAGCACACAGCCTCTGGGGTGTCCGTCCCCGAGTGATGGTGGCGGCCCTGTCAGCCTGGACACGTGCCGTCTCCCTGCCAGCTAAGGAAGACACGAAGAGAGTGGTTCTGCTCAGTGTCCCAGACGCTGTCCTCACGACCAGAGAGAGGCTCTAGTGGGCTGCCTCTTCCAAGGGGAACGAATGTCCTGTTAGCAGGAGGGGCCCGACTTCCGGGGCGACCTTTCAAGGACCCACGGAACTGCTCCAGCTCCCTCTGGCCCTTTCTCCAGAGGAGCATCTCTTCTCTCAGTTTTCCCGGGAGCCCAGCGACCTGCAGTCACATTCTCTCATCTCTGAAACAGCTCGTCTCTCTGCCTGGGAAGAGCCCCAGGGAAGCCACGGGTACAGAACGGCAGGGATCTCAGGTGAGGGCAGAGCCCTGGGAATAGCCCTACCTTGGCCCGGACATCACATGCCTTTCCTGACTGAGGAGAGCCCCGCTTCAGACCGGGCAGGGGTGGAACACTGCAGCCAGTTCTTTCCAAGCTCTGGGCTCCCGGCCGTGGGCCATGTCCTACAGGTGACTCTAAGGAGGATGGAGGGCTGTCTGAGGCAACCTGAGGGAGGGCCTTGCTTAGGGTCCATGCCCCCCGCTGGGGTTTGTGCATCTCATGGACCCCAAGGGCCGAACTCGTGAGCACCTAGAGCCTACAGCTTGTACATGGTAACAGTATGGGTGCTGTGGGCTCTGGGATAACCAAGAAAGGACGGAGAGAACCCCCTCCAACCCTGGAGTGGGTCCTGGACTCTGGAGAGATGAAGGAGTTTGGTGCAGGGGCCCTGTGGTCCTGCTGGTCCACAGAGGCTGGCTAGACCAGGCCCCCGCCCCCACCCCAAATCCAAATCTAGAATTTCCTAGACTCAAACTGGCCTCCAGGGCTAGAGGCAGAGCTTCGAGCTAATGTCACATGAACTCAGCATGCGGACGGCACAGCAGGGGCCAAAGCTGACCGGATTGCCAGCCAGCTGTGCAGGTCTTTACCAGGAGGGCTGCAGGGTGCTCGCCCACTCCTTGGCCCCAAGGCTGGTATCCGATTCTGTACACAGCTGGATGACACCCAGCCCCTGAGCCCAGAGGCTCGGGCTGCTGTTTCTTTCACCAGCAAACATTCAGGGCAAGGGCTTAGCTATTCTCTGTCGGGGGTGGTGAGGGGCTTTGCCACTCACAGCACCGCCTTATCCCTGACCTCTCGGATCAGGATGGCCCCTTGGGAGATGTTCTCTGAGCAAAGCATCCCCTTGCCGTGCTCATCCCAGACGGATCGGTCAGTTCCAGCCACTGCCTGTGGCCTACGGCTCTCTCCCCAGCACCCAGTGCAGGGCCTGGCCAGTCTTGCTGAGTGAAGGAATGCTCTTTACTTGTGGCTGAGCCTTTCAACAAGCATTGGCCGTTGTCCGGAGGACTGGGAAAGCTGGAGCTTTTCGCTTTCTGTTCTGCCGAGGGGCAGCAGGTTTCTCTGTAGCAACAGGAATCGTCTGATGTAGAGGACGGGAGGGCCTGGCTGGAGTCCCAGGGCTGGAGCTGGGTGCCTGCCCGTGGTGACCGCGTACACGTTAATCTGTGTGATCCCACGGGAAAGCTCAGGAACAAAGAGGAAGGCTGCCCACATCTCAGAATATACCTGGCCAGAAGGGAGCATCTTCACGTGGGGGAGTGGACAGATCAGGAGTGGGGGCTGGAGCATGGTCTCCGTGGAGACAGGGGCAGTGTCTAGTGCATGTGGATCCCCAAGACCTTGCTGACTGAGGAGGGCATGGGTTGGGAAAGGCGTAGTTCGCACGAGAGGAAGCTGATGACAACCGAGACAGACTAAAGATGAAAAGCCGGTGAGGGCCAGTTGTTTCTTGTCCACAGAACGAAGGCTGGAAAGCAAAGCCCTTTTCTTTGCGAGAGCTGGGCAGCTCAGTCTCCCATTTCCGGGGCAAGTTTGGGTCTGCTTCTCTACTGGGAGCTGGATTTCCATTTCTCTGTATCAGAAAGTGGGCCTGGAATGAAGTCCTTGTCTCTGGCCAGACATGGGCCAGGCTCACACCAGTCTCTCTCAGCTCTTGGTACACACAAGCCAACCCGGTGCCAGCACAGGCCGCCCCAACCCTCCCCACACAGCTGCTGGGAGCTGGGTCTGAAGCTCTCGAGGACTATGAGTGTATTCAGCCCTAGTCCTACTTCATTTGCCGTCTCCCACTGCTCCTGGGGAGCTGGGGGACCACATTAAGAGGCTGCCTAACACCCAAGCCCTGCCGCCGGACCTCCAGCCTGATCGTGGATGGCACCTTTGGCCAGAGGCCTCATTCAACCCAGATCTCACAGGACATCAGCATTTACGGCAGGCCCTGCAGGGGCAGACTGCAAAGTTGATCTTTGATCCTGGAATTAAGGTCAACACAGGCTAGGCTGGGACTCCCCCTGGACTCCCAATCCAGCTCCTCTCCTCCTTTCCCACCCTGTTCCACCAAGGGCTGCCCTGTTCCACTAAGAAGCCCGAGCTTGTAGGCCTCTGTGCACAGCCCGCCATACCTGCTGGAGAGCTCAGGCTCAGGGCCTGTGGGGCTCTGGGGCTGGGGTTACAGCAAGCACCGTGGGGCTCTTTAGTAGGGTCCTGCGCTGGGGGTGTTGGTGGTGGTATGCTGGGGCACATAACACCGTGTCTGGAGTTCACAGCCCCCGTCTCTCATGCCTCCCCACGCTTCTTTGGGGACCTTATCCTTCTTTCCACCCCGAGGTGCTGAGAGCCCTCCCTGGGCAACGTCCAGCAGACTGGACAGACCCCCCCCCACCCCCCCATCCCTCATAAAGCAATGGCAGGAGACGCATGGGGATGTCTGACCCATTTGCCTCCATCTACCTACGTGTGCAGTCCTTCTGGTTTTGGGCAAGGTCAAAGCCGGGCCTGCAGTCACAGGCCACCCCACCTTTGGGCGTCTCCCGGCAGATGTGGGCACAGCCGTGGTCTTTGTTCATGCAGTTCATACCCTCTGGGAAGAGACAGACGGGAGAGGAGCAGGGGACGGGAGGAGGGAAGAGAGAAAACATTTTAGGCTGAAGAGAGGCGGCCCATAAAATGTCGCCATCAGACACAGCGCTCCAGGGCTGCTCCTCGCTAGTCCCCGCCCGCCCCCCAACACACGCCAGGGTGAACGCCTAGCCATCCACGAGGGGAAGCAAGGAGAAACCACAGACACCGTGCCCCGGTCTCGAACCAGGGCTCACTCTGCGAACAGCACTGTGAAGGCCTCCAGGGAACCCACGAAGAAGCGTCCCTGCCTGGGTCAGGTCACAGAACCGGGTATGGCTCAGGGGTTTAGACTGTTTCTTCATTAGGGTGGGTGGGTGGGTGTGGGGGCGCGGCACCTTTCCATCTGCCCGGGGACGGCATGTGCCCCACTGGGGCAGGCGGAGACTTTGGTTTCAGTCTGGGCCCAGGGCGGGCGCTCACGGGTCAGGGGACTGGGTGGGTGGGCAGCAGCCCTAAGCAAATGGGCCCTGGCGGGCTGGATCTTGTTCCCCAGGAGGCCTGTCCATCCCGCATGGCCACCTCTCACCGTCCCTGCGCAAGTCAGAGGCTGCCGCCCTGGTCTGCTGGACCTCCGGGCTCGTCCTCAGCAGCCCCACAGCCATGCCCTGAACTACCTGCCATTCATCTCCCCTCAGCTGTCCGAGGGGATCTCTCTCTGTCCCTGGTCACTGCAGGGCTCCCAGCACCCATGGAACCCTCACTCCCAAATGCAGAGCCCTGCACGATCTGCTGCTGGCCTCCAGCTTCACTGCACATCCCATGCCCCACAGAGCCTGTTCCCAGTCCAGAAGCACACGTGTCCCCAATTCCAAAATCTCAGCCCAGGGTTCCTGCTGTTTGGCAGGTTTCTTTTTAAAGGAAAATGTCTGCCAACCTCAGATACCTTGTTCTGTGAAGCCTCACCTGAAAGGGCAGCTGGCAGCAGGGCTCCTTGCTGGCTGGGAGGCCTCAGAAGGGGGAGAAGGCCCCAGGGTGCCAGGGCTGGGCCCTCCACTGCCTGCTAGTGTCCCCGCCCTCTGGCAGCAGCGGCTGAGTCACCTGGAGCCCCGTCCCTCTCGCCCTTGCTTCGGCCCTTCCAGCTTGTTCTCTGGGCCGGACTCAGAAGCCGTGTCCCTCACCAGGCTGGCTTTTTCCTGTCTCATCTCCTCCCAGGTTCCCCGAAACTTTACTGTAGTGCCAAACCCTAGGCAGCGGCAAAGTTCTGGGCACGTTCTGGGCCCCTCGCCCCTATAAAGGCAAGCACGCCCTTCAGAGGTGGGAACACAGGGTTAAGACACCTGTCCAAAGGCCGACGGGGCACTGAGAGGCACCACCAGGACTTGGACCAGTACCTCAGGCTATAAACCTCTGTCTTGCTCCTGCCCTAGAGGCCTTGTGCAGTGCCGGGCTGGGCTGCCCTGGGTTTCCAGAGCAGGCACTGGGCACCATGAACATTGAGTCTCCAGAGGCCTGGCCTCTACTCAGTGCATGCTGAGGATTATACCGAAATGTGCTCTGAGGGCTCTGGGATGACAGGGACAACGAGGGTCCCCTGGGTGGGACCCAGTCACCCCTAGTTCCTGGGACCCCCACCCTCCCATCCCCCATCTCAGGAGACTTGATCCGCCCTCCCCAACTGCCTGGAGTGGCTCAGACCCCTTTCAGATGACCCCAGTTGATGTTTATCTTCCTAGTGATTTGTGAGGAGTTTCCAGAATTTATGAGGTCATCAGGGGTCAAGTGAGAGGTTGTAGGTCACAAGTCCATCAGGAGGCTACAGGCAGATGAAAGGAAGAGCTGCTGTCTGCCCACACGGCGCCCTGAGACCTTACTTCCATGTCCGGTCTGAGAGAAGCCAGCCCCGGACAGAGGGGAGGAAGCCACAGACGGGGACACACAGCAGCCTCCTTTCCTCAAGGTGGCTGCCCCGGGGGCCAGGACCAGCTCCGTCTTGACCCTGTCCGTTGTAAGCACGGGTGTGGGACAACGGAGATCTGACATACACTTAAGAACACACACACCCCAGCAGCTACAACGAAGATTTTTTAAAAAGTCTGAATTGAAATGAAACAAAGAAATGGCCCTGAGGGAAACCTGCCCTGTGCTGGGTGCGCTGACCTCTTCGCTCACCTGGATTTCCCCCTTCCCCAGATCACACCGCTGGACCGACGCAGGGTGGGACCAACTACCCAACAGCTGAGCGAACGAGCGCTCCGGTGCCGGGGCTCCTCGCTGGAAGCTTCTGGTGCGTGTGGAGGGACGCCCCCTCCTCTCCCGGAAACCACAGCAGCACATACCCACCTTGCAGGGCGGCGTGGGAGACACAGCAGGCAGCAGAACGATGGGTGGGGTGGGGGCGGTCTGGGGCTGGTGTGGCATTTCTGGGGTGTGGGTGCTCCACCGCGACCCAACGCCAAGCTCCGGGGAGAAGTCCCCAAAGGGGGCACCGGGGGCCCTTGTGGGCCGCAAGAGCCAACCTCACACGGAAAGTATGGCTCTCTGAGGTCACAGGCTTAAGTCAGGCAGCTGGGGGTAGGAGTCTGGCCTCCTTACTAGTCGTGTGTCTCAGAGAAAACCGCTTCTTTGGTGGAGTGGCCGTGATCATCTCTGCCTCACAGACAAGGCAGGTGGTTATTCTGACACTAGATCTTTCCATGGGGGCGCCGACTGCAGAAGGCTGGTGCCAGGGAAAGCACAGCTCCTCGTGGGAACCTTGGCTAGGCTGGGCAGCCCCTCCTTAGGTAAGCTTTCGGTTGAGGGGCTTTCCGGGGCCACGGAGACATATGCAGCCTCTCATCAGATCTCCCGAGAGAGGCTCGCTCAGAGACTCGCTGCTCTGAGGCGCCGGCCGGCAGGTGGCCACCAAGTGGCCTCCCGGGCCATCATCATGGCTGTGTTAACGGTGGGCTGAGTCCGGCATCACCCTTCACTCCCCGCTTAAGTGGCCCTTCTGGCTCCCCAGTGCCCACAAATGTACAAGGACTTGTTGTTCCTGCCTCTTTGCAGCCTTGTCTCCTGCCACGGACGACTCGAACTCTACCGCCCACATTTCTGCACTGCCCACTGAACGTCCCCTGGAGTGCCCCATCCACGCCCCTGCCTGGGCCTCTTCAAACCCCACCAGTTCCACAGGGCTTCCTGACTACTCCCATGTCACCCCCATGCCGCTGCCCTGCCTTGATCTCCCAGGGCCGCCCTGTGGCTGGCCCAGGCGATCGATGCCACTCACACAGATCTGTGCTTTCCTCCTAAACTGGGAAGGGCTCAAGGGGCCCTGTTTAAGCTCAGGCTTATATGTGATGAGGAAAGGGAGATTGAATTTCCATTCCCAGCCAAAGAAACACAACTTACGAGAAGCGCTGCTAATCATCACTAACCATAAATTTGTCACTGGGGAGCTGATGTGGCCCTGAACGTTGGATGCTAAACAGAGCCCAAGGCTTTAGAAGTCACTCAGCTTTCTCCCACTCCATGGACTGGCCATGAGGCAGTCTTTCTTCCTGAGAATCTAGACTTTTAATAATGAGCCAAGATGTTGATGTTTTGCTGACAAAGGATAATTCAGGGTGGAGGGTAATCCAGTGTTCTAGTCCAAGTCAATCTGGAAGCAAGCAGTGGAAACCCGGACCCGGGAGGGTGGGCCTCCGGCCTTGAGTGTGTCCACATCAGTGGGAGAGGCAGGCAAGGCCCCCCATCTTCTACGGAAAGAACGGAGTGAGGTCACATGACTCACTGAGGCTCTCCCTGCCCACCACCCCCAGGCTCCGGAGCACAGGGCCCTCCTTCTAAAGCCGAGGGCAGGGCCAGCGCTAGGTCCCCGGTGGCCGGTGGAGAGGGCTATGGGACCCCTTTATATTTCTGACAATTACAGAGGAGCCTGAAGTGTTTCTGTTCAGGTGTTGACATGCTATAGCTACTCATGTTTACTACAGCAGAAATTCAATGGGGGAAGCTTACATTTAATAATTTATAACAATAGAAATTAAAAAATGTATTACATTGTTAACATTAATTTTTTAAAATTAGAAACTGCATTTTCCAAAACAAGGGCAGAGCTGGCTGAGAGGAGAATCCTTGCAGAGGAGAAGGGAGTGAGGGTGGGCGCTGATTCCTGACCCTGCTGTTTGAATCTCTGGGAGTGAGGCTGGGCCTCAAGCCACGTGTCCCCCCTCCCCTCATTCTCCAGGCTCCAGCTCCAGGCTCTTGTCACTTCTTGTCTCCACTGGATTAAGGGGGTGTCTCGGTTGGCTGTGCCTGCCGCAGCCTGGACGCTACAGGAAGTGATCAACCCATGGTGGCACTCCAGAAGGCGCTGGCTCTGTAGGGTCAAATGCCACCGTGTCCCTCCTCCAGGAAGCCTTCCTCGGTCCCCCAGCCCAGTCAACAGCCTTCTGGACGCCTGTGCTCCCCTCGCTCACAGCACTGACATGGTGGCCATGTTTCTCCTCCCTGGTCTTCCTGTGACTCTCTGACCAGCCCCTGAGGGCAGGCTGAGCTCTGAGCCTCTCAGTCCTCACTGTCCAGATAGGTCCTGCCGGGGACGGGATTCTCTGTGTCCTCACCGTGAAGGGAGGGAAATGGAATAAGCTTTCCCCTCCTCCACGAGGGGCTGGGACACAGGTCTGGCCCTCACACGCCAGCAGCCACCACGCTGGGAGACAGGCTGACAAGGAGCAGGCCGCCACCAACTGCCGGCCTCACTGAGCCTGGAGCCCTCTCAGCCTGACAGCTTCTGGAGGCAGCTCCTCCGAGCTGGTGGCCATCAGGGTGTCACCCTCACATCGGCAACCATCGCAGAGATGGTCGCAGCTGCCCAGCCTGAGGGGCCGAGGACTAGGGTTTGCTCTGTGCTGGTAGTTCAGCTCCTCACCTGCTGGAGACACAGAAGCCACATTACCTTCCCCTGGGTGCTGGGGCCCACTGGCTGCTGCGGGCCGCGAGAAGATGTGTGTCACGGTGGGGCAGAGCCGCAGACTGTCA